GCGGGGTCCAGCCCGGGGTCGTCACATGTGGTTGCCGCAAGCCCGCTGGACGCTCCTTCGTCGAATCCCCTGGCCTCGCCGTTCTCAAGCCCTCCGGCCTCCGCTCACTCAAGCCCGCCGTGTGTGACGCTGTGTTTCGTTGTGAAAGCGAAACTACTTTGTTTGGCCTTCCAAAAGAGGACACGACTAGAAATCAGTGGTTAAGTTGTATTTACAACACTGTTCCAGAACAGTTCAACCCAAATATTCAGATGTGTGCAGCACATTTTATGGAGGACTGTTTCCTGATCCTGGGAGAGTAGACTACAATGCCGGCTGTTCTGACTCGCAGTCTGTAAGTACGTTTTTTATATTTAAAGAATTTGCCACTGACGATTCAAACGCGAGTTTTGGGCAGTGTAGAGTAGCGCTTGTTTGTCATTTCTCAGATCACAAATGCAGACATGGTTTTATGTTTACGCGGCGCGATGCAACGCGTAATAAGACAGTACAAGTCATTATAATCCATTATGTCCCCACTGGATGCAACAAATGCCTCGTTTATAATGGGTTTTAATGTTTTTGTCTCGTTGCTCCGGCCTGACAGGGCATCATCACAGTATGGTGAGGGGCGTAACATTTCCGTCACACGCTTGAGGTATTCGGCCAATCACCACGCACTGGATAGCCGGCCAATCAGAGCACACCTCGCTTTTCAGACCGATGAGCTTTGTAAAAATCGACGCGTTTCAGAAAGGCGGGGCATAGAGGAGAAACAATAATGTACAGTATGTGGAAAATAATGTGTTTTTTTAACCTTAAACCACATAAACACATTTCATTACACCAAATACACAAAATAATGTTCTTTTTAGAAACATCATATGACCCCTTTAACTTTTTTTTAAATTGACGCACAAGGGTTAATTGTATAATTGGAGAGGGGTGTTGGGGAAAAAACAAAGTGGGTCGGACCAATCAGACCGAGCACCACAACACTCTTGTAGCCAATCAGCAATAGAGGGTGTTTACGTTCATGATGGGGGAGGAGTCAGAGCAAGTGTGCGGGAGATTTGTAGAAAGACCGTAGAAATAGAGATAGCGGAGACTATTTCCAAAGAGGAATATCACTCTAAAAAGAAGGGTTACGATCATAGACTGTATGGTTACGATCAGGCAAGAGCTCGGAGCCGCATTAGGACTGGAAATGCTATGTTTTCTGCTCGACGCGTGAGTAGCATTGGTTTACCGGTATAGACTGTTGCTTCATCTGTAGTGACAGGATAGTTTTGAGTGTCAGTAAGCTGTTCGTCTGAAGCTGGTTTGTTGGCGATTATGGCGGGCCGGAAGGTCCAAAAATAAGACTTCGTGGCAAACTCAGTAGCTCCTGGCAATAGTATAGTGACTTCCCGCAACAAGTTATTAGTCTTATTTTTGGACCTTCCGGCCCGCCATAGGCGACTAGCATAGAACTCTTTTATGTAACGATGTCATTGTCGCATATTTGCGTTATTTTGCTTGGCGCCTATGATTTCATATCCTCCCGAGAACCAAAATAAAAGTTTTGTGATTTTATTTTATTTTTTAATTTGGAGCATAAACAACTGGAGAAAAAACGTGAAAATGAATAACAAAAACAAACAAAAAAAAATGTAAATCCCTCCAAAATTACCCAACTAAAAAGTGAGAAATATTACATGTCTTTGAAAAAAGATATATTTTAAAAAATGTGTTCTGGTGTCTGGGGTCAGCTGTCAGGAGTTAAAGGGATGTTTTTATACAACACCCTTTTTGTTTTCTTCTCTTCTTCCACTTTTCACTTCCATACATGGTATTGAAAATGGGGGAGGGGGTTCATTTATTTATTTATATTTTTTCATATCTTTTTTTTAATAGCTAGTAAACTAGTAATACTACACATTCTCAATTATGCTTTAAGCAGTGTATTAGTAGTTAGTATGCTACAGTCTGCCAAAGTCTGTAAAAAAAATAGGGCACAATTAATATGAAAGAATTTTCCGTATTGGTTTTTTATCTGCATTTTAAATTACGCATTGTGTTTTCTGGTTACATACAGCGTTACAATGGATAATGAATACTGTCCTGGAAAATTACTAGTATCTTTTCCCGTAGAAACCGTGCTTCACTGAAAGATACGCATGACAATCGCAGCTTCGGTCTAATCGCAATTTCGATTTCATTTTTGATTTATCGTGCAGCCCTAGTAAGGAGATCTGTAAAATAATCCATGTGACATCAGCGGTTCAACCGTAACTTTACGAAGCTACGAGAATACTTTTTGTGCGCGAAAAAAATAAAAACAATGACTTTATTCAACAATTGAATAAATTGAATTTATTCAACACGCGGCAGCTGACACAGAACAGCATACGTTGTTTACGTATGTGATGTTCTCCAAAATGGCACCAGGGTGACGCGGAGGAGACAAATTGTTGAATAGTTTTTTTTTGTTTTCTTTGCGCACAAAAAGTATTCTCGTAGCTTCGTAAAATTACGGTTGAACCCCTGATGTCACATGGATTATTTTACCGATCTCCTTACGTTTCTGGACCTTGATCGTGGTAATTACTTTGCCGTCAGAGAGCTCTCAGAATTCATCAAAAATGTCTTGTGTTCCAAAGACGAACGGAGGTCTTACAGTTTTAGAACGACATGAGGGTGAGTAATTAATGACAGAATTTTCATTTTTGGGTGAACTATCCCTTTAAAATCCGATTTTACTTGATGCAAAATTTGTGTAAAATTTCCATAACTTGGTATTCCCATTCTATGCAATGTATCAATACATTGTAACTAATTTGTATATTAATGTGTTCTTGGGGCAGCATGTAATGAAAAAAGAAGTGTAATTATGGAAGTAATAACTTGGCAACATTTTCATAAGAATTTGTCATTTCATAGGGATATTGATCTATAATTTCTTCCCCTATTGACTTGATGTCCTCTACAGAAGACATAAAATTGATGCCTCGTTTTGTAGCAAAAAGTCATATTCTGATTTAAAAACCCAATAACATTTTCCTGAGATGTTGATTTACAACAAACGTTTTGAAAATTAGTCAGATTTAAATAATTGCAAATTATTATATTTCTGTAAGAGTGCTAAATTTGATCCCACCTGAATTATTTCTCTTAACCATAGACAGCACAAAATCTGAATGGCAACGCTATTTTTAATTCTATCGTTTCATCTTGAATATCAACATTTGTGACATAAGTTTAGTAATCTAAACAGTTTTGAGGTTCATTGATCTAATTCTGTCTCTCTAGATAATAGTAATCTATGATACCATATTATGTGGAATATCAACGTTTTTATGTCTGTTTTATTAATGAGGGATTTGTGGACAGTGAACACATCAATGTTTTTGTATTTGTGGAGTAAAAGTTAAAGTTTTCATTAATAAAAAGCTAAAATTAGACCCTTGGGATAAGATGGGCCGCTAGAATTGACACAGAAGAACCCAAGTGGCATGTTGTTAGTGTTAGTGTTATTTTTAATTTAATACTTATTGTAATTAATGGGGTTATTTTTTAATATTTAGATGTACATTTCAGATATATTTGCTGTCATAAAAACCTGTAGGTTAATTAAAAGTCAATTAAAATGAATTAAAATTGGCATTCACAGTGTTGCAATGTTGACATCTTCAATTAAAATAACAAAATTTTATTTAAAAATGAATTTTAATAAAAAAAAAAATATTTTGGATGCAATTAATCTTGATTAATCGATTTGACAGCACTAGTTTGAAGTATAATTATAAAGATATAATTAGTGGCGTTTCATTGTCAAATTAATGTTTTTAATGAATCACAAGTGAAAAAATTATTTACATGTTTCATTTGTCACAACTTCCTTTTAGAAGGCTTTTTTTTCTCCTTGGCACTGTGCTTACTTAATGTTTAAATTAATTCCCTAGTTGTCAAAAGATCTGAAAATTATTTAGATTTTTTAGAGGACATTTTCTCAAAAACAAGTTTTAGTTTGAGTTTTCTGAATAATAATACCAGAAGAATGACGTCTTCAAATGGCTCTTTATTTTAGCAACGCAATACATTGAAACACGGAGTCCCGTACAGATCCAGATTCCCCTCATCACACAAACTCTTCAGATGAGACGGGAACAAAATCATTCAAGCATTGATGGGCAACATAAAAAAAACACTGATGCTTTAATAAATAGCTTTTTTATGAGACAGTAGCCTGAATGTTATAATGACCACTTTTACATATTCCTCAAAATGTAAACAAAACACTGTATGGTAACAAAATCGTCGTTTTTAATATATCTGAGCTTCTCTGGCCTGTTCATCTCAGCTGAATTAGCGTGATTAGTTTGTTCACTGATACGGTTCTTTCATGGAAATCTATCAGTTTATTGTGAAGTTGGTGTAATAAGGCCTGCATTTGTTTTTTGTTACAGTAAAGGCTCTTACTGGCAATCAAAAAAAAAAAAAGTCATGTATTGTCTCACTGCTACACGAGTTATTAAATTCAGCAGTTTCTGTAGGTCTCAATAGAGATCATCTGTATTGCAGTCATGCAACTTCTACTGTAACTAGGGATGCACAGTATATATCTGACTATATCAATATGGGCCAATACAATTTTCAATACAATCAATATGGGGCCCCCCAATTTTCTTATACAGTATTTCCCACGTGTATATTTTTTTAGGCCTTTCACATGAAGCATTTTATATATATATATATATATATATATATATAACAATTTATTCAAAATAATTGTCATGTTTGAGCTTCATAAATGACCCCCAGTGTGTTTTCATTTAACCCTCTGGTGCTCCTCACATGTCAGTGAAAAATGACTAAATTTGTATTATTTTTAATTATGTTAGTGTACTATATGTTGATAAGGTTTTTTTTTATTTTTTGGTACTAAAATTTATGGAACAGTTGATCCATTTGTCTTTTAACCACTTATAAAAAGTATAGACCTTAAACTGTCTTAAATCATGAATGCTTTGGAGTACAAAAAAGTATAAAAAAAAAAAAAAAGAAATAGAAGTTTATGAAAAATGCACAAAAAAATTTTTTTTTTTACATTTTATATGAAATATATTTTCCAAAACATTTTATTCTTAAAAGAAAAAAAAGTCATACATTTAAAGTTGGGTTCCAAATTTGAAGTTGATATCACAAAAAAAAAAAAGAGCTTTCAATAGAATTTTATTTGGGTGCACTACCAAACTTTTACACTAGATGAAATGTATTTCCCGTTAGTTAGCAAACAGTGCAAGTGTGACTTTTTTTTATCAGGACCATTTAACCAGTCAGTTTTTTTCCTGTGTTCACGTAGCAAGTAGCAAAACCTTCAAGTTTTGTACCATCCAGATTTTGGTTAAAAAATAAACACATTTTTCTATGAAAAATTACCTAAGAGCACCAGAGAGCTAAAAAAAAAAAAACATTACAGACTGGTTAGCTATAGAAGTTTGTTTCCATCACAGGATTAAAAAATAAAAATGGTAATTGTGACTTTTTATCCCACAGTTTTTTTTACCAATTCTGAGATGTCAGAATTGCAAGTTTCAACTCAGAATTGCGAGATATAAACAGAATTTTGAGCTATAAACTCAGTTCGGAACAATTCAGAAAAGAAAAGTCCTGATTGTGAGAAACTTGCAATTACGGTGAGAAAAAAAATCTGAACTGTGAGAAGTTGCAATTACCTTTTTAATTTTTTTTATTCTGCAGAATTAAAAAGTACAGAATTGCGAGATAAATCTCAGAACTGTGAGAACGTCAGAATTCTGAGTTTGTCTCATGATTCTGAGAAAAAAACAAACTGGATTTTGAGATATATATATATATATATATATAAAGCAGAATTGTGAGATTATTTTTTTCATCCCAAAAAGAATGAAGTACCTTTATTTTGTCATCCTGTTTCATCCTGTTGTTTTTGTCAATTGTGAGATTATTTTTTTCATCCCAAAAAGAATGAAGTACCTTTATTTTGTCATCCTGTGTTGGAAACAAGTTTCCTTAATTAGTAGTCATAAAAATAAGTGGTCGAAATGTCTATATCAGTGCATCCCTAATTGTAACTATTTCTAGACTGTATCTGCTCTTTTCCATTGGGACGGTATAAATCACATTTCAATATCTGGCAAACTGTTATGCAAGTAAATGAGCAGTATATATACATCTGAAAAGCATGAATGAGTCAATGACATATTTACAGGATTCTCTCACACACACACACAGTCCAGTCAGATGATGCAGAGCTGGTTTGTTCATGCATTAGCTCACTATATGCCCTCTCATGGCCTTACACTCTATCCTCATTCAATTTAGTAAGAACTCAAATCATCTATCCAGTTAAAATGTGCTTTTGTCGGCTGAAAGAAAGCATCACATCACGTACAGGTTACACATGTAGATACACTGGTGAGATGAGGGCTGATGGGATTGTTCTGCTGGTGCTGTGTGGCTACAGGGCTCGCGGGCGTTTGGGGTTGATCTGCTGACTGGCCTGCTCCTCTTCCTGAAGAGCCGAGCGGAAAGACTTCACTTTATCTGAAACCAAACACAATTTACTGTTGCATTTGATTTGACATGAAGGAAAACAACTTCATACGAGACGCAAGAATGATGATATTTGTCATACTGTTGCCTGAGATTCAATCACTGACAAAACATAAAAGTAAGTGAAACTGTCTATGAAGTGTGCAGATTATATTTCAGCACCAAATCAAGTGTTTATTTTGTTTAAAGAAACTGAAGTCTATTTTAAGTCCATTCATATTTTTTTTCTATTAAACAAATTTTTTATATGTAAATTCATATTTTTTTTCTATTAAACAAATGTTTTATGTAAATAGATAATTGACTTAATTGATTCTAAATGATAAATATTCAGTATGAAGAATTTTAATGACCACAATTTGTATTATTTCAGGGCTCGCAAAATGGCTAGCCCGACGTCCCGGGGCTATTGTGTTTTCCAGTCGGGCTACCAGATGTATCAGCACTCTGCCCGACGGGCTACCTTAAATACAGATCTCTCACGGGTCCTTAAAAACTTCTACAGTGAGTTGTATCAAACTTAAAAAGTTTTAAATGCGTTAAATGGTATAAGTAATGTCTTGATTATAATTTCAAGAGGTCTTACAGTTGGGGACGGAAAGACAAGAGTCGCGATACGGCTGGATTCAACTTCAAAAGACAATGATGTTATTGAATAAATATGAGCACTGCATGTGTCAAGTCAAAATGCTCGGATCTCTTTATTTGAATGTATCTAAAGGGAACCGACTGTCCTCAGAAACGTGTCGCTGGCATTTTAATTTCATTTGACCTATAATTCCTGATAAAGCAGCGTTTATGCGCGCGTAGCTGCTTTGTGTACAGCCATTACCGGGGAAACCGCTCCTAAAGCGCCACCTCGTGGCAGAGAATGAATTTGCATTTCCAATAAGCCTTTCTTGCTGTTTATGGTCAGAATCAGATCAATGCAAATATTAACTCATGTTTTTACGCAGCAAACACAGAGTTGTAAATGAGAAAGAAGTTAATGTGCCTTCTAAAAATCTAAACAATTAAGACAGTAATATTTATACGTTTTAAATTGACAATTTATATGCTTGATTTATCCCTTTTCATAAAAATGGTCTAAAGGCTGAAATGCTGTTGTATAAGGTTTTTGTGAAAACCTGTATCTGAACTGTAAATCATGTAATTTTATGGCTCAGTACTGTATGTTACCATAGATATTGTTCAAACCCATTCATACTGTGTTCATTTTACTTGTGCAGCTCTTAAAATGGGTCATAAATTGCCTTAAATTCATTTTTAAAAATTGTAGATACCCTGTAAATAGTGAAATAAAATTCCTTCCTTCATATTTGTTGATATTTGTGTATTGAAAATATTTTTCATTTGACATTTAAACTCCTATCTGATTTTCTATATTTGAAAGAATTTTTTTTTTTATTTGGGCTAGTTAAATTAATTTTCGGGATACCAAAATCTGAAGAGTACCTGCCCGAAGGGCTACCAGGGATTTTTAAATTTTGCGAGCCCTGTATTTATAAATAATATAACCAATGGCAATAAACACACACACACACACACACTTAAAATTAATTAAAAAAAATAGATTTATATTATTACTATATATAAAACTCTTGCATTCCACTATTAAATTCTTGTGAAAAATATTAATATAGTTTATAAAAATAAAAATGAGCACACAAATGTAATGTAATCGATTACATTTTATATAAATAATAAAATAAGTAATTTAAACACTAATAATGTTTATAAACATTATTTTATATATTACTATATTTTATAATTTTTGGAATAAAAATATTCTATTTATTACATATTACAATTTGTGAAAATTAATAAACATTACAATTCTGTGAAAATAAATGTTTACATAAGAAAAATCTATACATATAAAGTTATTTTAAAACTATTAGTTTTGTATTATGACATTACTGCTTACATTTTTAATTAAATAGACAATTTTAAATGGCAGTGTCAATAATGTAAAAAAAAATATAATACAATAATGTATTATAATAAATGGCAAATTATTTTTTAATCTTACAAATAATAAAGAATCTAAATATGAATATAATGTTAATTTATATATTAATATTATAATTAATTTTTATATTCTATAATTTCTAGAATAAAAAATGTTTATGTAATATAAAAAATCTATGCATATAAAGTCTATAATAAAACATTTTTGTATTATGACATTTTAGATTAACATTTAAAATTGTTGTCAATTTTGAATAAAAGTTACTTTTTTTAAAATCATGTATTATAATAAACATCACTTCATTAAACTGAAAATGAATTTACACTACAGTAATTTTTTTGGTTTTTGGAGAAAATGTTAATAAAAATAAAAAAATTATGTTCTAAAAATAAACTTAATTTCCATTTATTTTTGTCTTCTCTAATTAATATGCATCACATTTAAAACTGTGACATCATAGACTTAGTTAGTTACAGGTTCTTGGAGGACGACTGTGAACACACTGACCTCTGAGCTCTGTCAACACATCAATCTTCTGATCCAGGATTTGCTCAAGCTGAGTGGCAAAAGATTCCACATCATAATCAACTTCCTCTGTCATCTCCAGAAGAACCTTCTCATCCTCCAGCCAGCGTATGGACTCCTGCAACACCACACACAACATGACCGCCCAACTCCATCACTAACATATTGAAGCGTTTTAAAACAAAGTTGTTGTTTTTTAGCATAAGCAAAATCAAGATATACAGTGCAGTTCAAAGGTTTGGCCTCTGTGTCTGTGTGTGTAAGAAATGGCTTAAAAATAATTTTTGAATTTTAGTAATTGTTTATACATAGATATGTGCACAAACATTATATATTGTTTAGTTATACAACTATATAAATGCATATAGGTAGAATATAATTGATTATACATAATTTGAGAATTTTACAAATTAATAAGGTTTACATAAAGACCTTGCATGAATGCATAATGTGAACCTAAATAATATTTCTAGAATGTATATTATGTTTATATCAAATACAATTTTTTTATTAATAAAAATATTTATTACTGTTTTTAATTACATGTTTTTAAAGGATTTTCCCCCTACCTTTTTAAGCACAAAAAAAAAAGAAACTACAGTTCAAAAAAAAATTTTTTTTAAGAAAAGAAAATTGCATTTAAATTGATTAAAAAAAGATTAAATTGATCAAAAGTGACAGTAAAGGCATTTATAATGTTACAAAATAATGATTTCAAATAAATGCTGTTCTTTTGAACCTTCTATGCGAAGATTTCTGAAAAATTAACCACTTTCAACATTGATATTCAGAAATGTTTTCTTGAGCAGTAAATCAGCATATTAGAATGATTTCTGAAGGATCATGTGACACTGAACACTGGAGTAACGATGCTGAAAATTTAAATTACATTTTAAACTAGTCAGAGAAAACCAATATTTAAATTCAAACAATATTTCAAAATATTACAATTGACTATTTCTGATTAAATAAATGCAGCTTTGATGAGTAGAAGAGACTTCTTTCATACGCATTAATAATTCTTATCAACCCCAAACTTTTGAACAGCATTGTATATTCAGATATAATAGTTCTGAAAACAAGTTTAACACCCTTTGTACTTTTACTTCTAAAGCAAGTTGACCTTATTTGAAGGCTACTTTAAGGCAGTTTAATGACAGATAAAAGGGCTCCATACGCCCGATCCAAGTTTCTCCTCTGTGGTTAACAGCACAGACCTGAAACACGGCGCGGTGGTCCTCCAGAACCTGCTCCTCCATCTCCACCAGCTGAGACACCACCTCATGGAAGTTGAAGAGCTGTGGGGACACTTCCTCTTCCTGTGCACAACATCAACACACAGTGTCAGGTTTTCATACCAGCCCAAACAAGCTGAGCTGGGAGGTTAAATGGCTTACGTTTTGTTCACAGAGCAACTTGAGATCGTCTCTCTGAGGAGAGCTGCCCACTCCCCACTGCGCCTCCAGCACGTCCAGCTGACTGAGCGAGTGTCCGGCGGAGCGTCCCTCCATCACCGCACTGGGGTCGATGTTCAGCTCCTTCACCCTACGGTCACAGACAGTGTCTCAGTTCACCACAGTCAACATGTAACGGCATTTATGATCCAATAAACCAACAGAAAAGGGTAATGTTACATAAACATGTTCATGCAGCATGATAATGACGAACTCTAGCCGCTCTATAAGGCACAAACAAACACAAACCAACATGTTAGTGCAGCTGCAACGCAAAACAGAAACATGCCTGAAATGGGACAAATGGACTCAAAAAACAAGGGACCAAAACGTAAAGAGGCACATGGAGCGTAACGCAAGCGAATCATTAGAAACACAGGACTGGTATGGAGGCTCTGTCTGAAGTGAGACAGGCTTGAAACTGGAAAAGGGCGAGACCTGCTGGGTGAGGTTGCAAAGTCATCGTACTCATAGGTAGGAGAGAGTTCGGAGCGCCCGCCGCCCCCCTGAGAGAAGGGAATGTCGGAGGGACTGATCCCAAACTCCTTCACTCTGAAGACGGGACAACATACGGGAATTACAAACCCCTCCAACACAAATTACATCCTAACCCTAACATTCAGCTGTTACAGGAAGATTCCAGATTCATAATCTTTGGAATGAGTTAAAGTTTTAGTTCACCCAAAAATGAAAATTCTGTCATTAATTACTCACCCTCGTGTTGTTCCAAACCCGTAAGACCTTCGTTCTTCTTTGGAACACAATTTAAAATATATTTGATGAAATCTGAGGGCTCTCTGACTCTCCCATAGACAGCAAGGCAACTACCACGTTAAAGGTCCAGAAAAGTAACAAGATGAT